TTCAACGCCACACCATGCCATTCTCTTTGCCTCTAATTGTCACGTGAAGACCCAGGCCGCCAGCTACCTCCAATATCAGCAGAATAAACACCATAAGCAGACATGACAGAGAGGTCTCCATATCCAGAACGAGGCTGGTAATTTCCAGAAGTTACTCTAGGCAGCGGACCCCCATCACGAGCAAGGATGATATGCCCCATTCGTTTACAATAAACACAGAAATTTCTTCTATGATAATGCTTCTGCAAATGTCCCCTTTCCCGACAATGATGACATACAAGGTCAGACACGGCAATTCGGCGTTGAAATTGGGGCCGATTCACAGCATATGCAGCGGCATTGTTGCCTGAAATTAAAGATCCTTGCCCCGGCAGCAGCAGCTACTAATGATTCCCCTTCACCAGGTCGTAAGTCAATACTTGCATGGGTTCTTAATCGTGTTTCCTCCCTCACAAGAGTGCCTAGCACTCTGTCAAATTGGATGATATCCCGGTTCAGTAAAGTTGCACGGACAGGTTTGAATTCTGGACGTAGCTTCATCAAAAAATTCAAGAGCCGAGTCTGCATCCTCTCGGCAATAGAATCTTCGGTCAGAACAGCCTGAGGGCGTAGGGCTGCATTGAGAAGATCTTGTTCAGTCCACAGCTCCTGCGCCGCATTAAAGTACTCAGACACGGTGCGATCTCCTTGCTCTATTTGGGTTAGCGCCAGTTGAATCTCGAATTGACGGGCAACATTGACGGTGGAATACATGACGGCAAGATGACGCCACATTCGATTGGCGGTTGGATACAAACGAAGACTGAGACAAGTGGATGAATCAACATAATCGAGTAGCCAGGTCCGAACTCGCGCATCATTTTGGTTCCAGGTTGCGACGGCTTGAGGTGTAGCGGCTGCACCTTCTGGCTTAGCTTGCGTTCCATCGAGGATGCTAAGAAGTCCTCTCCCTTCTACAAACACGCGGAACTGAAATTCCCAGAGAGCATAATTGGTTGAATTCAGATGGACGGAGGGTCGATCAAGCTCTGATACCATGTTGATTTATCAAAATAGAAACGGAAATAGACACTGATTTACGTGGTATCCCTAGAATTCCAGGACTAATCCACGGAAGAGATTTGAATGCTCTTCGACTACTGATCTCACTTCTAATTCCCGTTAACCCTACAAGGAGTGTCTACAGCACACTAAATACACCCTTCACCTCTCAACCCTAGCACACACACACGTCATTCACTCTAATCACCAACGTGGGCTGTGCATGGGCTAAACATGGCCTTAATGACAATTGGCCCAACACTAAACTCCACTACGTCTTTTATATACATACGTACAATGAGCTCATTCAACAGTGACATCAATCCTCCCTCTGTTTTGGTCCACGACCCCTTGAATTTTAGACTTCTCCAAACCATAAATAGTCACAATGTCTTTTTTTATGGTATTTCGGGTTGGGACTTTGAAGAGAGGGTTCAAGGTGCAGCAAAACCTTTTGAAGTAAAGGTGATCAACAATACAAAGGGGATACTCGTGCACCAAGAACATGGTGCAGAGTTCCTTTCTAGACACCTTACTACTAAACTGATTGGTACTCATATCAGCAGTACCATTGGCATTGTAATTAGCACCAAGTACACTTTGACTCCCATCGTGTATTTTTTTATGAACACACTTGTTCGTATGAGTTCTAAGATGGGAAGTACCGTTACTAGATTTCCCAGCCAATACCTTCTTATAGTAGTTGCATTTAGCTTTTAATATCCCATTCACCATCAGCCTAGTGAAGTGAGGCCAGACATCAGATTTTAAAGACCTAGTAGCACCTAAGGAATGTTGAGGAAGAACACCTTCCACGAGATTATCAGGATTACCATTAGGAGGGGCAACAACTTCATTAGCAGGTGCATTCTGAACGTGTTGGGGTTCCATCTGTTTAAAAGGAAGAAAAGATGTTTTAGAAAGATATCCACTGTTCAGTTGTGTTCTCATAATTTAATTCATATTAGTAGCTTACAATAGTCAATAGATTAGCAAATTACATATCGAGAAGTTTACTTGATTTGAGTAGTTTAGGATTACATATTAGAAGTTTACTTGATTCGAGTAGCATTACAACAGATTAGCATATTACCTATTACCCTTTTTCTTATTACAGATTAGCATTAAGCAGATTAGCAGTTTAGCTGCTTACACTAATGAACTTACAAACATCGATTGACCAGTTGAGCTAGTCCAGCAGATTTCACCCTTTCAGTTTACTTACAACATTACCAATTTAAAGGCTTTAGGTTTAGCTACGAACAACCAACAACAAGCTAGGGTCGACAACTTACTTAAGCAGATTGTAGTTTAAGCACCAACTGCTTGATGAGATTCCTGAACAAAAATGAGGAATCTGCAAAAACTCAAAAGCAGACAAATTAGTGTTTCTGACTCAGGTTTAGCTACGAACAACCAACAACAAGCTAGGGTCGACGACTTACCTAAGCAGAATGCAGTTTATGAACCAGCTACTTGATTTGATTCCTCAACAGAAAAGAGAAATCTGCAAAATCACAAAAGCATGAATTAACAATGAACAAATTTATCATTGCTAATTTTGATCTTAGCATTTACAGATTTCACCTTTATGTGTTCACCTCTTCAGATTAGCATAAACAAATTTATCAATAGTCATTACTAATGATTCATTAGCATTTACAAATTGAAATGGGTTTAGGGTTTCATTAGCATTTTAACATTTCGATCTTAGCTATTAAGGTGAGTAATCGTCAACTTACCTCATCAGATAGAAGACAGCACGTTGAAGCAGAAGCAACGGTCGCTAGATGGGACTCACGAACAACAATCTGCAAGAACAAAAGAGCAGATTTGGATTGTTAGGGTTTCTGAATCTCTGCCGAACTAAGCAAGAACCAATAACAAACAATCAAACAAACTTTTGTCAAATAAACTTACTTAGAATGAAGGAAAGGCTGATCCGGAAATATGGAAGGCTAGGGTTTCTAGATTATGAGTTCGATGAACTGCAGATGAACAAAAATGAATTTCGTCATCTATTTATACATGTACTAGAAAAACTAGATTAAGTTAACAAAAAATATAATACTTATATCGATCTGGCCATCTAGAAAAGAAATCGTTCGCATACGCGATTGAGATTGACGATTCGAAGAGGATTTCTGTCGATCGAGACATTTTAGGTGGTTGTAGTGTTGATTAACAGCAAGATATGGGCTTTTTTTATCATGGGATCGTCGATTTTCGAGGAAGAATCAAAGAGAAAGGAGGAGAAATCGCCGGGAATGAGTGGATTTTTGGCAGGAAATCGACTATGGTGATTTCTATAGAGAAAAATCGGGGAAGAAAGAGGAAGGCGATTGCTGAAATGAGCTTCCTCCAAACCCTAGCGAAAAACGACTCTTTATACCTATGTCCATACGTCGTCGTTTCGCTATCGGGGGGGGGGGGGGGGGGATACGGGCGGGTATCACAAGATCCATCCCCAGTCTGCACCAAGTAACGCGGGTCACGAGTATGCCCAACACCCGCTAACTTAACCGCCGTCGCGGGTTTCGGCCCATTACACACGGTCGGGCCCCGACGGATGCCCAAGACCCGCGAGCCGACTGCCATCCCTAGGGGTGGAAATCGGTACAGTATCGGTATTCAAATACCAAATACCGAAATCCCGAATACCGAATTACACCCTAAAGTCAATCTCAATCCCAATCCCTAAATAATTTCGGTATCCCAATCCCAATCCCTAAGTATACCGGTATCCCAATCGGTACTTCGGTATCCCAATCGGTATTATTAAATACGAAATTAATTACCTTTACAATTAATAATTAAATATATAAATTAAATTTATTGTTTAATTTAGGGGAAAAAGACTAAGCAAAGAGTCTTGAATTAGGATATTATTAAGGAGAATGGAGGAGAGGACACATCTCAAGTTCTTGTCATGGTAATTTTTAATTTGACGAATTGGAGGTTGATAGACAACTATTAATAGTAATGGAATGATCTATGTATAATTAAATGACACTTTTGGTGGTTGAGGGTCGTGTAGTTAGTGAATGAAAGAGTATAGTTGAGAGGATAAAATACACACTAGCTTATATTTCGGTATTAATCGGTATTTCAGTATATACCGATCTCAATCCTGTAATCCCTAATACTGAATAACAAATGAAATTCAATCCCATCCCAAAAAATAATTCGTGTATTCGATTATACCAAATATAGACAAATTCGGTACAGTATTCGGTATATCCCAAATACCGATACCAAACTTCCAACCCTAGCCATCCCTATGATATAAGAGTCGAAATATATAAATAATCAAATTAAAACCCACCCGGCCAATGACCGGGTTCAAAGCTAGTCTCTAATAACCACTTAAATTAATCGTACCTTGGATAAAAAAAAAGGGTAAATACAATTTAATATTCAAATCTTTTATTTTAAACAATATAATAGCCAAACCTTTTCGAAAACAATATAATATCCAAATTGTCAACTTTCCGTTCGTTTGACCATTAGTTGACACTTCAAGAAATCTTTGTTTAGGGGAAATTGTCACAATACAACTTTGTTTTCTTGTTTTGGCATTGCAGATGACTGAATATTTAGATATTCTACACCATCATGGTGGAGTCATGGACTTCTCGGGTTTGGAACTACGATATGTTGGTGGTTTTTCAGAGAAGATATCGATGGATATTAATGAAGTGTCGTACTTCGAACTTTTTTGAAGTGTCAACTAACGGTCAAACATACAAAAAGTTGACGATTTGGATATTAAATTGTTTTCGAAAAGGTTTGGCTATTATATTATTTAAAATGAAAGGTTTGGATATTAAATTGTATTTAAAAAAAAAATAGTCTTGTGCTTTCGGTTAGACGGTTTCTCCTCTTGAAATTTTTTCTCTTTTAGATTTCTAGGAATTCAACGAGGTAGTTAGGTTAACTCCCTTGTATCCAGAAGCACGCCACGATAACCCTTCATGGCTAAGTTTCCTTCCCTCTGCAATCTTTTATCCTTTCTGCGTCGGCTCGACCCTTCTTCCTTGTTCAGGATCCTTTCCGCTATTGAATCGTTCGCGGAGGAGATAGTCCGTCTCCGACTTCACTTGATCATTGTAATGGGGCAGAGTCTGGGTTCCGCCAGCCCAAAACAATCCAAAGACGAGCTCTTGTTTCAGTTTGTTCTCGCCGGTAACGTCGAGGGCGCCAGAGCTCTATATGGACATGGGGCTAGTCTTGAGGTAATTATGTTGCTACTTCTTATTATGAACCCATTTCAATACTTTGTTCACCCAGAATCGTAATTTGGCCGAACGTTTTGGTTCCGTCTTTCTCTTTTGATTTTGCAGTGTACTGACAAAGAAGGAAATACCCCTCTCATTGTTGCTTGTAAGGATTCTGCATTGTTCTATGTTGCCAAGGCTTTGATTGATCTGGGAGCCAACGTTAATGCCTATGGACCTGGTAAAACTTGTGCAATCTAGTGTTTGGAAGCTTTCTCAGTCCTGCATGCTTATAAATTACCCTTTTCCTACGGTCTAGAACTTGAGGAGAATGAACTACTTATTAGTGTATTGTGGAATCTAGCAGGTCGATATGGTGGTACGCCTTTACATCATGCTGCCAGCAGAGGGCTGGAACAGACTGTGCTGCTTCTTCTGTTGAGTGGAGGTGTTTCTTGTGTACTTCTATGATGTTTAAGACGTTTTCCATGGCGTGTTAAGTTGTGTGCAATGCTCCTGTTTTTGTTGCTCAAGCCATCATACTGAACTTTGGTTGCCTGGTAAATGTTATAGGGAATGCGTTGTTGAGAAATGATGATGGCCAGACTGCACTTGATATGGCTAGAACAAACCAGAAAACAGTTGTAGTCCGTGCAATTGAGGTGCACAAAGGAGCTAGCATTCGTTATTTGTTTAACTATTCAAGGTTTTTTTTAATATATATTTTAACCTAAGTTAGGATCTTGTTGTATTTGCAGCATCATATCTGCCTTTTCTCTGGTTGGTTGCGAGAGTTTCATGGTCCAGCATTTCTGAGATCATTTTCTCTTCAGTTGTTGTCAACAAAAGTGTACGTATGATGGCAGTACTCTCATTGCTATTTATCATAGGCATAGTTGGATATGGCATCATGCTAGAAAATTTCAAATTTTCGTTAATAATGATTCCTGAAGCTCCATTTAGCTGTGCTAATTACATCAAATTGCCTGCAGCTGGGCAGTTGTTCTGCCTTATAGCACTAGAGATCCTACAAATGTCAGATTGCAGCTTGTGTTATATTCCATTCAGCAGGTAGCATAGTCCTAAAGTTGATTCTGGCTTTCTAATTGATGTTTCACTGTGAAAACTATGGCAAATTATGTTTGAGTTGCAAGATCTTGAACTTTATGTCGTATCTCTGCCATATCAACTTTAGTAGTTTTTTTATGTTTTATAAACAGGATGCCAAACCTTACACTGTAATTCCTCTTTGGAATGCCAAAATTGAAGAACCTAAATTTGACAATCCGGATGCAGGAATGACTATATTCGACCCATCCTCAAGTAAGTAATTATACTAATTCAAGGTTTTTATTTCCTCTAATACCATTCTGATGAATTTCATTGTGCAGTTCTTACTTGGACACTGATATTGTGGATCGTAGAAAATATCCTTTTTATCAGGGTAACATACTAGTTGATCACTTGAAGGAATATGCTTAATGGCATTCTTGTAGTTGAATGCACAGGCTTTTGTTCCTTGATAGTTGATCCTGTCATTAGTTCATCTTGTTTTCGAATCTAATCTTAGGTGATGAAGAGAATGGTGATTCCCATGTAGTGTTTAGCTCAACCTTAATGCATGGTGCACAGTTTATTTAGAAAATGGACAGATCTTTTGCCTTACTTGCAGCATGTTTATCGTCTCACATAGTTTTTGGTAGTAATATGGTTAAGTTTGTAGTTTGTGGCCATCTTTGCACTTGCATGATGCATAATTTCATTTTGTAGTGTGATAGATAGATAGAGCATTGTTCTCAGCCAACAGGGTCGGCTGGAAGGTTCATGTTGATTGTATGTAGGGCATTTTCCATTGTGGAATTCTTGCGTGGGCCCTTTCTGCCATGCAGACTCATAACCGATCTATTTAACCAGCATTGACAAAATGATATGTTGAGTATTAACTGTTCAGGAGTGACCCCCGTTTAACTATCTTTCCTGATAGATTGGCCCAAAACTTTACGTTGTTGAGCCGAGTCACCAACTTTTAATAGATCTGGCGTCCGTTGCTTTAGTGTTACATGATAATAAATGGATTTTGAGTTGTCAACATGTATAGTATCCTGGTATTCACTACAATCTTTCATTTCCGGGGTAGATTCTCAGCACCAATTGGCACCTTTCAAGCAGGGCGACAAGGACCAGCTTCGTTGCTTATACGATGCATGCAGAAGAAATGGTATCACACAGGTATTCAAAATTTTATTTTATCATGCTTTATTCACTTCTCTCTGTGAGTTGTACTGAATGCTGGATGACTGAGCTATTCTCTAGATAAACAGCAAGTTTCCCCCCTGTGCTTCCCTTTTCTGTCACCTTTAGGTGGTGTTGATAATTGAGAAAGGCGATTTGGGAATGTCGATTTTTTCCCTTTCAGTTTGTTGATTGTAGGGGTTGTGATGTGGTCTAATTCTATTTTTGCTGGAAACAAATATCACACTGATCAGTATCTTGATCTTCTCAGGTTGGGCCTACACCAAGGCATCAGCATATGGAACATGTCATCCCAGATACCGGATATGAAGATCCTGAAGAAGCTCTACAATTGGCAATGGCACTGAGTGCATCCATCCAATCTGCCATGGAGGACAGGCAACAGCCCCCAAATAGCCACGACTATGGTTCTGGAGCTATTGATACCAACGGTTGGGGACATGCACCACATGCCGAGAGTCACAATGGATGGGGGGCCCCTGTAGGATCTCCACTCTCAGAAGCTAGCAGCAGCGGGCAGGTGCCCGAGAAGGAAGCAAAAGAGAAATACAATGGCTGGGATGTTCCCAGCACTAGGCCTACTGCTGGCAGTCATAATAGCCTCCCAGTGAACCAAGTTGTAGCTGTTGCGTCCACCACAGCTCCATCTGCTCCTCCAGTTCCCACGGAAGCAACCATGGATGAAGAAGGCCCTATCCACTATCCATCCATCGACCTTGGTCCATTGGATCTCTCTGTTCCAGCCACCGAGCAGGGGGTTTCGTCTGCAACAAGCAACTCAAAGGATGAAGGTAGTTCCTCTTCTTCTTCTGCTTCCTCCGTTTGCATAATCTGTTGGGACGCTCCAGTACAGGGTGCATGCGTCCCTTGTGGTCACATGGCAGGCTGTATGGAATGTTTGAGCGACATCAAAGGCAAGAAAGGTACTTGTCCAGTTTGCCGGGCTAAGTTGACTCAAGTTATAAAGCTGTATTCAGTTTGAAACCGATCTTCAACAAATGGGTTTTGCTTATTGACCATTTGAGTTAGTTAGTACGCCCAAGATTTTGGCACCCAAAATGAAACGATGGATGGCCAGTCAGTCTAGGCGTGAGGGGAACATGTTGAACTGAAACGACCTGATGGTGAAAAACAAAATGCAGAGGCTCACCCATTGTGGTGTTTTTCATTTTTCCATTGCAGGTTGTAAGTAATGTCTTCACTGTGCTATGTACGTATACCCTTTTCCATATTACATAAGGGTCGTTTGGAGAAATACAAAAATCTAGACTTAAAAATATTTAATAGAAATTTATGCTTTTTTTTTTGCTTTATGTATAATGGATTTTAACTCTAGAGATTTAGAAATATTTTTGACATTTTTTCCTTTATTTATTTATTCCATTAAGTATAACCACCAATAACTTGTCAATAATTTTGGAGTCAGTCTTTTTCTGGTAGTTAAGGGGTCGTTTGGTTGGAGTATTTGTATGAGTTATTTGTGAGTTATTTGGATTCGAATAACTCACAACGAGTTATTTGTAATAACTCATACCCATGTGTTATTTCGAAATAACTCGTTTTACCACTATGCTTTTACCGAATATTACAGGTCAATTACTACATTTGCATGGTTCAACCAAACGATATACTTTATTTCCAAACGACCTAAATGACTTAAGGGTATTCTTTTCATTTGATAAAAAAATAATTTTTTTATATTCATTGAATATTAACAAGCAAACAATAGAGTTCTCTCAAGTCTATAATGAATTGGATTTGGTACTCAAATTTCAAATTTCTCACTCAAATCCATGAAAAAAACAACCACAAAATCCATGAGTATTTTATCATTTATCCTAAATTTTTTTCTTAATTACAAGCCTGCCCTCGAGCTCGCCCAATTTTCTTTCTACAATTTTGGCTCTCGCTTATGTTAATTGCATTTATATAAATCCTTTACTGATTCCATGTTTTGGTTTGCGTTTATAATTCTTTTTGGCTCTGAAAATCTTTTAGAGGTACTCAAGGAACTTCTAAACTGCTTTCCCAACATGGCCATGACCACCTATTTGTTTATATGAAAAGAATAATAATAGACTAATAATTATAAAGAAGGGCGATATGGTTAATTGTATTTCATATCTTGAATTTTCATTCAATAAAATCCATCTTGAAATGAAACAAGCAAACAGTGGTTTCGTCCAAATTCATAATGCATTAATTCCATCATAAATCCATAATTTTATAAAATTCATATTGTAAGGAAAATCTTCATTTTCAAATTCATGAATTTTTTTTATTCCACTCCTTTTAATCGACTTGTATTTTTTTTTGTTTCAACCCAAAATTGAAATTTTTACACAGATGAAACGCGGTCATTGTAATCTATAATATGATATTCATTTTTAATATAGGGTATATTGCATATTGATCACTCGATTTATCAATTTCTTTCACATTTCTCACTCGATTTTTTTCTCACTAGTTACTCACTTTAAGCAATGTTTCATTATTGGTCACTAGTCATCTAGTTCCGTTAAATTGGTCCTATATACCAGCCAACGATTATGTTTAAACGTTAAATTACCGATGCAACAATAAAAAATAAATAAAAATTGAAATAATTATTTAAAGTTTTTTTGGCGGAAAAGATTACTTGCATTACCAAGAAACAATGAAGTTACTAAATCTTGACTTTCGAGCATATCCACGCTTGAAAATCAAATTCCAAACACCCTATAGGAAACAAAGCTAGAGCTTTTTTTTTCTCCACTAAATGGGACGCCCTGTTGTCTTGTCTACATATAAATCTAATGTAGAAACCCGAAGAAGATGTTAGAAGAGGACGAAGTTATGTCAAGATCGCCCCGCCCTTAGCAACCCTGGTACATCTTGCATTCACTTTATCAATGACCACTTTGACATTTTCGATGAATCTCACATCTTGAAGCCCAACCACGAAAGTTTTGGCAAACAGATTGAAACAAGTTCTAGATGATATCATTTCAGAGGAGCAAAGCGCTTTTGTCCCCGGACGCTGCATAACTGACAACATTATTGTTGGTTTTGAATGTTTCCAGTTTATGAAGTAAAGAAAGAAGGCTAAAGATGAGTTTTTTTTGCTGCAAAACTCGATATGGCCAAAGCCTACGATTGAGTTGAGTGGTTATTTATGAAAAAGGGTCGTGAGGAAGATGGGCTTTGATGACAGATTGGTTGAGCTGATTATGCAGTGCATCTCTACAATTTTTTATTATGTGCTGGTCAATGGCCACAAATCTGAGTGTTTCACTCCTTCTAGAGGCATGCGACATGGCGATCCTTTATCTCCCTACATTTCCTCATGTGTTTTGAAGGGCTTACAGCTTTGATTAAGAAGGCGGAAAAGGATGGCAGACTTCATGGTATTCAAACTCGAAAGAAAGCTCATATTATCTCCCACCTTTTGTTTACAGATGACAACATAGTGTTTGACAGAGCAACCGTGAAAGAATGTGATCAACTAAAGGAGATTTTGAACATCTATGCGAGGGAATCTGGTCAACTCATTAATTTTAGTAAATCTGAAATCTCTTTCAACATTAATGTTAGAATTAGCCGCAACTTGGAGGTTTGTGGTACAATTGGAAGTAGATAAGCATCCTAAGTATCTTGGACTCCCTACTGTGGTTGGAAGATCAAAGAAGGCTATTTTTGAAGATGTGAAAGAATTAGTTCAGAAAGAATTGAAGGATTGGAAAAGCAGGACAATGTCACAGAATGAGAAGAAAATTATGATTAAAGCAGTAGCTGAAGCGCAGATTCTTTATCCTATGTCGGTTTTTCTCCTTCCAGAGGGTACTCTTAAGGAAATCCGATGCCTTATTTCAAATTTCTGGTGACGGCAAAAAAGGAGAGAGACCATGCTCCACTTGCTGGATTGGGATGAGCTATGTGACAACAAAGAGGAAGGGGTAAGGGATTCAGAGACCTTAGTGCTTTTAACTATGCTATGCTTGGCAAGCAAGTCTGGAATGTTATTAACAAACCAAACTCATTGATGGAAAAACCCTAAAGGCAAGATACTTTCCAAAAACTGACATTCTCAAGGAAAAATTTGGCTACCTACCTAGTTTTATTTAGAAAAACACCTATAAAGCGAAAGAGAGAGTTGAAGATGGTTTCAGACGGATAGTATGTAATGAAGAGTCTATTAATATATGGGAAGACCCTTGGATCCCTAGGAATTTTTTTATCTGTGCTGATCTCCAACCCACTGGTTCAAATTCGGATGATAAGGTTTGTTCCTTATCGATAAGGTGCAGGGGAGTTGGGACATCCCCAGAATTGAGGAGTTGTTCTCTCTTTAAGATTAGACTCTCATCTCTAAAATCCATCTTCGCTCCCAACCTTAAACCTGATACTAGGGTGTAGATGGACACTATTTATGGATCTTATTCTGTGAAATCGACCTACTCCAGAATTCAGAGAAAGCAACCCAATACCATGAACAGACTTCATAACTTTTCCCCTAATGACTGTGAATTCTGGAAATTTCTTTGGAATATTCAAGTCCAGCCTAAGGTGCAGAATTTTCTATGGAGGATTTGGAGGAATATCATAGCAGTGGGCAAAAATCTTGAAGAGTAGATTGAGGATGTGAACTACGACTGTCCCTTCTGTGGTCTCCCTGAATCTCAAATGCATGCTCTCAAGGAGTGTGAGTGGATTCACCGCAGGTGGCAGTCATGCGAAGTAAAGGAGCTTTTTGAGATGGGGGCTGGTAAACAGTGTTTTCAGGAAGATAGGATTCAAAGGTTCAGGGTTATTTTGTTGGTACCTATGGAAGGAGAGATGCAACCACTTGAACAATAACAAGAAGATGGAGGAGGATGAGATCATCCCTCAGGCTTTCGGCTGGCTCTAATCCTTTCTGAATGCTTAAGGATCATCGGAGCTGTCGGTGACTGCATGTCCTCCACAAGTCAAATCCAGAAGGACAAAGGGTTGCCCCCCTCCCCCCTGCGAAGGCGTTTACAAGCTTAATTGCGGTGCATGTGTCTTTTCCTAGGGGGTTGTGTTCGGGTGGTATCATTCATGATTGGATAATGTCTTTTTGTGGAGTAATTGCAAAGAAAGAAAGCAGAGTCTACAACCCAAGTGAAGCTGAAGCAAAGGCGATCGTGATGGGATTGGTTGAATCTAATAGGAGGATGTTCATCCCTCTCGTTGTTGAGACTGATTGCCAGGTTTTGGTTTGGAAACTGAAGAAAGGGGAGATTGATCGCACTGAATTGGGTGTCTGATGTGATGAGATTCAAAGACCGGTGAAAGTGAATGAAACTCTTTTGGGGTTCCTTGTTGAGTGGAGCTTCACCCCTAAAAAACAACAACACCATAACCCATCGGTTAGCCCATTCTCTTCGTTTATAAGACCATAAGTTTGTGTGGGTGGATCATCCCCTGCTTTCGCTTTTATGTTTGGTTGATAATGATTTGGGCCAAGGCCCTTGCAATCGTCCATGATTTTGAATGAAATTTCAGCCAAGTTCCAATAAAAAAAATCACACACACACACACACACCACATCCTGAATAGCCATCATTTCCACAGCATCGGATCAAACAAGCCATCATATGTCAAATCTTACGCATTCACTATCCCACCCAATGCATCCCATGGAACCATTCTCACCGCACCATGAGAGTTGGAGTAAACTGCCCCCTCAAACGAACACATGAGCCACCCTGAATTATCGTCTATCTCGATTTGGATAACCTACCCCCTGCCTGAAACTGAAGAACACAAGATGAACCCCCCCCACCATTACTAAGGAAGCTCACCCACTCATCCAGTTGGGCCTTAAACTGTCTTTCCAGCATAATGAATAACCCCTGTTGACCCTCAAATGCAACCAAGTTCCTGGACTTTCAGATTCACTACAGCAGGCACAAGAGACTAACTATCCTAGGATGAGAGGAATATTGTTACAAGTCTCTTTGAAAAAATGACAAAATTTGCCTCTGGGAAGCATATAAATTAATCCCCAACCCCGATGCCTCCCACATAGCCCTCCTCACTGGCTAGTAGAAGAATAAGTGCTCAATTGTCCCCCCCCCCCAAACAGACTAGTCTTCTAGGAAACTCCAGTACCTTCTTCAGAATCAATGGATCCATTATGGGAAGACTTTGTTGCAACAACTGGCAAACAAAAAATGGAGCTTGGGCATCAGAGGACCCTAAAATTTCATCCATATAACCTTTCTATTATCCCACATTCCTGTTTCCATTGACTAGAGGCTCGACTCAACCTTTCAGTTAATCGATACCCCGACTTCGCG